GCAGGGTCCACTTCCCTCCCTCACCAGCTTCTGGAGCTCCTTGGTCTTCTCCAGCAGGCGGTCGAGCTTGGGCTCCAAGGCGCCCTGCTCTGCCAGGGCCTCCTGCCGCTTCTGGCCCATCACCTCCTTCTTGGCCAGCAGCAGCTGCGCCTGCTTCAGCTTCTGCCCGAGCAGCTCGCTCACGCGGTCCACGTACCTGTTTGGGGAGAGCCAGGACCACCGTCACCTCCCCGTCGCCCACCCGGGTGCCATCCCCACGCCAGTTCACCTCCATTCCCTGCTCCAGACCTGCCCCGCAGAGTCCCATGGTCCCCCCCCCAGCCTTGAGCCCCTGTTTTTTCCCCCCACCGAGCGAAGACCTGGGGGAGGCGAGGATCATGAAGAGGTGCTGCATGCTGCGGGTGCAGAGCTGGCCCAGCAGAGCCCGGGTGGTAGCCAGGAGAGAGCCCACACGGGCACTGGTCTGGCCCTGCAGCACGGCGGGGGCCAGCTGGAACTGGCTCATGGCCACGATGTCAGCCTCCTCCTCCATCTCCACCAGGCGCTGGGACAGGAACAGCTCCAGCTGCGGGGACAGGGCAGGGGGACACTCTGGTGCTGCCATCCTTGGAGTGGGATGGCGGCAGAGCTGCCCCTTAAGTGGCTTTCGTCGATGAACTGGCTCCGGGTCTGGGCATTTTCCAGGAGTGTCAGGGCGTCGGAGCCGCGGGCGACCCCCTCGGGCACTGGGGGACAAGCCAGGGTGAGGGGGGCGGGGAAGCAGCAGGGAAGGGATCTCCACAGCTCGGACAGGCTGGTAAAAAAGCATGTCTGGTCCCCCCCCCCCCCCCCACAGCCCGTCCCACACAGGGTGCTCAGCATCGCCCCACGGGACTGTTCAGTGGAGTCCCCAACAGGCCTTCGTGCACAGCCAGGGTGCCCAGGGTCACTGCAGGCAGGGAACAGGGAATAAAGGCAGGGTGGGTGCTGCCTGCTACCTGCTGGGACCCCCTGTGTCCCTTCACAGCCATGCTCACCCTCAGTGCCGGCCTCCAGCACTGTGATCTGCACGCCCTCGCTTTCACCGTCTCCCCAATCAATGCCATCATCCTGCTGCAAAAGAAAGGGCACCCTGTGTGATGGGGGTGCCTGGGACACCCCCAGGTCCCCAGCCCAGCCCTAACACAGGGCCAGACCCCAGGACCACACAGCCAGTGGTCACAGACCTGAGGATCGGGCTCTAGCG